CTCCCCCCCCCCCCCCCACTTTCATCCCCAGTGCTTTTGGAAAAGGTATAAGAATCTTAACTGGAGTCAGCTAAGCAAAACATAAATACAATTCTTTCTCTCTTTTTTTAGGCTTTTATTTTTTGGTTTGGGGTTTAATTTTTACTTTTACAAAACAAATAGGAATGCCTTCATATTTCACAAAACTCTGCCCCAAAAGGGGCATTGTCTTACCTGAACGCCTTTTCTCAGCACAAAGAGAAAACCTTAACACCTGGCAGGCAATTTTCTGTACAAAGATTCTGCCTTGGATATGAACCAAAGTGGTTCATGCCTGAAGCAGGCAAAGTAAGGCCAAATCAAGTTTTATCTTCAATATCTAACCTACTAATTAAAAGAAACAATCTCTTAAAAAGCACCGTACACGTGATCCCCATTTAGTTAACAACAGCAACTGGGAATGCCAGAACTGCTGTTGCTAAGCAGTGTGGTCATACTGTTTTTGTTTTTTTTCTGACTTACAACCACACTGATGTTAAATCATTTTTTGGAAGAGAATTACAATTTTTAAGAAGTAGAGCACTTACAGAGACAGCTATTTTCCCTAAAATATCCTCAGGAATCGTTAAGCCTCTGTCAATGACTTGCTTGTAGAATTTGTCCAGCGAGGTATCCATCAATTCCATACAAATCCACACATCACCCTAGACAAATGGGAGTTGGTGAAGGGGGAACACATAAGTGATCATGAGCTTTGACCAGTTTCCATCACCAAAACGTATCTTTACCAAAACACATATGCACTGCCTCCAAAGCTTTCTTGTCAACTAATATTAGATTTTTAATAAGGCCTCCTACCACACACGACAGACTTTAGAGCAGGGGTTCCCAACCAGGGGTGCAAGACGATGTTCCAGGGGGTGCGAAAACTTGAGTTTTCAAAATTATAGTGTATATGCATAATTCGTTGCCGTTATTTCGAACTTTTGTAAGGGGTGCGAGAATGTATCAGAAGCGTTCTAGGGGTGTGGGGTATAGAAAAAGTTGGGAACCACTGCTTTAGAGTGACCTGTGGGTGCTAGAATGTGTTAAAGGTTCCTTTCCTGTTGTGTGGAATGTGAATTGTTTAGATTGACCGATTGAAAAAATGAGCAATAGAAGCGTGGAGAAAAGGCACCAGAAATTAGATAATAGTACAAAGAGAAAATACATCATTTACAAACTGCTCCTCAGACAGAAACTCTGTTTGATCAATAACATTCAACTAGAGAGAGGTCTACCTTTTAAACCACTGTTTAACTTGATTGTTTCTGAAAAGGATGAAAGATATAGCAAGAACATTCTGGTGGCCATTTTTTGGGGTTTTTTTTTTTAAGATTTTGCTATTTTAAAAGTCTAGCATCATAGTCTGATACACTAAGACAGCCATAGTTAATGCAGTCCAACAAATATCAGAGATGCCAAAAACGTAACTTTTCTTTAGTGAGATGATTTGGGAAAATACCTCTTCTGCTATTTTTCATTGTTGGATGAAAACACATACTATTCCACTGAGCTTTTCACCTTCTAGGTCAAATGAAATTTTTGTTGTTCAGAACTTTCTGTCCATGCCTGGGTTTTTTGTATATACTGAAGATATTTTGTATCAACCGAATTGTCTCCTGGGGTCGCACTGTAGCAACTGGTTGTGCCCAATTTGGAAATGATTTAAAGAAGAGCTTTGGATTTTATGTGACCACGGCAAGCTCTCTGCTAGTTATTAAAGCAGTCCATCTTTTTTCACAAGAAGGCTACAAGCCCCCTTCTGAATAATCTTTAGCAATTGCAGACTGAAGTATTTTGGTTGTTCTAATCTAAGACATATTAAATAATAGGATGGGACAGAATTTGAGGAACTGAAATCCATGCATTATTTGGTTTCAGATCCAATCAGTTGCCAAATGAAGGACAAGCTAGGAACAGCCCAATAGGTTGCCCACTCCCAGGTTAAATGACCATCCAGCTTATTTAGTATAATTTTCTGTGTCCTAGGTAAAAATGTGAGAAGGTCATAAGTCCTACCTCCCGAAACAGCGCACCATAGAACGTGACAGTAAAATGACAGTCTACTGTTCTCATAGAGATGTCCAAGTCCATCAATAGCCTCTTCTGTTCCTGGCTATTCACTGTTGCTCGGATTCGCTGGAAAACAGAGCCAGTTTAAAAGTTCACTCTTCCTTTTCTTAAAACACAGATACTTTATCAGACAACCACCTGGCAGTCACAAAAGCTAGAAAAATCAGAACGATGACATTCCCTCAGAGAGATCTTACCAGATGCAAACCTTCTCTTCCTGATTTTATTGGATGGGCAGAATCAACCAAAGAGATAGTTTCAGACCTGTCCAGGCCATCAGCCGTGTAGGGGCTTAAACACGGTAACTAACATTTGAATCACACTGCAAAACTAACTGACTGCATGTGCGTGAATACAGACAACTTACAACTCACCAATGTACAAATAAGCCAGACTCTTATTTATTTGGGGCTTTCAAAACTGAATGAAATTTGATCATTACACTTGTTCCTTGCAGTTCACAATATGGCCTGATCTCATCCACCTTACTGTTTCGAAATCCTGAAGAACAGCTGGGGTGAATTTGGATGGTTAATGCACACCAAGAGAGAATCTTACTCTACCTTCACTGCCATTATTTGCCCGCTGGGCATATGTCGCATCATCTCTACCACCCCATATGCACCACGTCCTAATTCTGATATTGGCTCCAGGTCATCGGCTTTAACTTCAAAGTTCTATGAAGAAATAAAGCCAAGAAAACAAAACAGAAGTTAAAAGGCAGATCTCCATTCCAATTCAGGCAAAGTAATTCTACATTTTCTTGGACATTGTTTCCCTAAAGGGAAAGAATTAAACACCTGATTTTCAGACATTAAATAGTTTTGTTTTTGCCTGCCTAATCTTTTGCACAGGGTTTTCCCCCCCTTTCACTAGATTAGAGAAGTGATTTGTACAAGAGATATTCTCTCTTTGGAACTCAAAAGGATAGTAGTTCATTGTCATCCCTCTTCCATTTTCCCAGATCACTTCAGATGTAACTCAGCGCCAGATTTCACCACCGGTGAGAAATACAGGTGGAGGGGCATTGTGGACAAGCACTCTGGATCATGGGCAGGTGTGAGGATGCTGGAGGGGGAGGGGTATCACAGGCAAGGGGTAGGCAGGCACTGCAAAGTGCAGTTGGATGAAAAAGCAGCAGAAACAGGAACAACTTTCAATTTCCCAATGGCTTTCCCATTGATTTTGCTTACTGGAAGTCGTCAGAAAACACTGGAAAACACAATCATTTGACTATGACTTGCTGTAATGTCATAACTGCAAGGTGGGCACCGAACATCGCCATCATTGGCCGTGGTGGCACTGGGAAAACCAGAGCTCTGAGGACCATTTTTAAGTCCCCATTATCATCTCAATTGTAACTATGAATGGTTGCTGAATGAGTGTCTACCTATATTGATGCTCTTAAAGGAAAGTTAATTCAATGCCCACATCATTTTAAAATGATAAAGCTTTTTGAATGTTGGATTTAATAGATAAAAGATATAATAAATAAAAATGTAAATAATAAGACTGAGAAATAAAATTATATACATACAAAAAGAGAGAGACACACACACACATTTAAGACTACTACATTAAACCCTATTCATTTCTTCATTAATTTCCATCTTAGTCCTCTCAACAAGCACACATGCCCACCATATTTTATCTTCACCATACCTTGTCTCCAATATTAATGCACGCTTTGGAATCCAAATCTCTAGGTGGCCTGTGAAATTAAGAAAAAAAAATGAGAAAATGATCTGATTTGCACTTAAATTCTCCCCTATGAATACCTGTATAGAAAAATGCATTAATCTAGTCAGAGAAGAATCTTTAGAATCTTTAAAAACAATGATCAAGAGAGTTTGAAAACTAATACATTTTTAAATTGTATACTTTAAAAATACAGCTCTTTTAAGAAACTACTTACGCATGTGAGTTTTCTATCAAGTAATTTTTAAAATATGAATGTAAGATTAGAGTTTGTCAATAATCAGCAATCGCAAGAAGTTTTATAACTGTCTCAAGTTTTAAAAATATTTTTAATTATCATATAATAATGATCAATAAAACATTGAACTTTTTTAAAATGTTAAGAACTTTTTAAAAAAAGCAACCGCAGCAACAACTATACAAAAGCAGCAATTATATTATTCAAAGTATAGTATAGACCCCCAAAGTATAGTTTGGGAACAGACATAAATATATTTTAAGCCTAAGAAAATATCTTAAGTGTTAAATACTTAATTGATCTCTTCCATTCTTTATATTACAGATAAATTACTTTGTTAGTCAGTTTAAAAAATGGAAACACAGACAATTTTTAAATATTCTTCGCAATTCAGTTTGGTGGTTAGTAATTTGGTCCCTTTTCACAGACCACCTTTTGAATATTATTATTCAAAATATTATTCTGAAGGTTTTCCCATTCTTCAAAAGCCTCAAAAAGACAAATTTAGATCTGTTATCTCAATGAAGCATCCAGCAAATGACCCAAGGACCATTTTAATTATAAAAATAAAATGGGTGGGTGGAATGAAAACATCCTTCCCCTCTTTTTTCATTTCTGCAGGTATACAAGTTTATGCCTATTTAAAATTAATAAAGGTCTCAAAATGGAGAAAACTCTATGGAACATCTGGGTTGGGAGGCTGGTAGCGAACTAGACCTATTCCTAGAGCAGTGATGGCGAACCTTTTAGAGACCGAGTGCCCAAACTGCAACCCAAAACCCACTTATGTATCGTCAGGTGCCGGGTGGGTGTGGCCCATTGGGTGGTGTGGCCCATTGGGTGGGCGTGGCTGCGGTGGTAACAGCAGACTGGGTGGGACTAAAAAGTTCAATCAATCAATTCCAACTTTGCAAGATTTTTTTTTCCCACGAGAAGTTGAAATTAACTGATTGATTGAACCTTCTCTCTCTCTCTCCCGCTCTCTCCCTCCCTCCCTCCCTCCCTCCCTCTCCCTCTCTCCCTCCCTCCCTCCCTCTCTCTTGTCCAAAGATGTTTTTCGTGGGCATGTGGCTAGCATGGCTATACACCAAAGACTTATAGAATGCTGTTACCTTCCTATCAAAGTGGTACTACTCACATCTGCATGCTTCCAAACTGCTAGATGAGCAAGGAATGGAAGCTCACCCCATTGTGTGGCCAGGGCTGTCAGCTTTCCAATTGACAAGCTCAGCATCTTTAACCGCTGAGCTCCTATAGTATTGTGGTTAAAAGAATAAATAATTCCTCTAACTGAAGAATTTCTCAAAGTATATTTTGCTCACCATAAAAGACCCACATATTATGTTTGGCCTTGATTTCTTGTTGAAGTTAGAGTTCATTATGGCTCCTTTCTGCTAACCATCTGTTTTATTTTAATTGTTCACCTAGAGAGATATACTGTAAATCTTCAATTTTGCTCATTTAATCTGATCTGATGAATTACACGGACAAGTAGGCCTACCTGGAAAATACCTTATTTATCTTGCATTATCCATGACAGGAATAACTCCAAGCAAACTGAGCACTGATAAACTTTGCCATAAATCTGTTCTTTTACAAAGGGTCAGCAATGTTTCTTTTTAAAAGGACTCCTATACTTAATGTCAACTATAACTTAACACAGAAAAAATCAGAAGATGCTAATGAATGAAGGCGAACACACATATCCTAGGATAATGTTGCAGGATCCAATCTGGGTTGGTCATCCGGACAAGAGGTTTTGTCTTCAAAGCTTTTGGACTCATGCTGGAGCCCATCTTCAGGCAACCTCTCTCTAGCAGAATGTGTGCTGTTCGGTGTGTGGTATTTATAGTGCCTGTTGTAAGTGGCTTTTTAGATATTGATTGGGGTGTGTTGATGACTGACTTTTAAGTCGTTGGTTGTTGTTTGCTTGTGCTGCCCAGCCCTCGTCTTCTAAGTACTTTGTAGGCTGGTGGTAAATCAGCACTCCTGTTGACTGACGAGGGGCCTGTTTCCCAGGCTTCAATCACTTCCCTGGCTGTTTTTGTGCCTGCTCGTCCAACAATCTTCATCAGTGCAAAGTTGAATGTGTGTCCTTGTTCACTGCAGTGAGAGGCTACCAATGAGTTTGGGTCTCCTCGTCTGACCGCTCACTTGTGTTCTTGCAATCTGGTGGTTAGCTTCTTCCTCGTCTGTTTTATATAGTTCTACATCAGAATACTATATGACAGGGTGACAACCCACTGTAGTACCCAGGAAGCCAAACAGCTGGGAGCAGGTACCTACGTGAACAATTCAAGCAGAATGGGTATCCACAATCATTTGTCACAAGATGTCTGTGCAACATGGTGGGGAGAGAAAGGAAGAAACAAGGTACAAGACCAACCACATGGCACACCCCTGTCATACATCAAAAACATTTTGGAAGCTGTAGAATGCAGCTTCCGAGATCTGCAGGTGGGCATCGCACACCTCCCAGAGGCTACCATACGAGGACAAATTAATGCATTGCAAAGATTGCTTGGAGGTGGGAGATACTTCCAATGTAATCTACCAAATCCCCTGCATGGATTGCCCCTGTAACTATGTAGGACAGACTGGAAGGAAGCTAACCACCAGATTGCAAGAACACAAGCAAGCGGTCAAACAAGGATACCCGAACTCATTGGTAGCCTCACACTACAATGAACAAGGACACACATTCAACTTTGCAGAAACCAAGATTGTTGGACGAGCAGGCACAAAAACAGCCAGGGAAGTGATTGAGGTCTGGGAAACAGGCCCCTCGTCAGTCAACAGGAGTGCTGATTTACCACCAGCCTATCAAGTACTTAGAAGGCGAGGGCTGGGCAGCACAAGCAAACGACAACCAAGGACTTAAAAGCCAGCCGGTCAACATACCCTAATCAACATCTAAAAAGCCACTTACAACAGGCACTATAAATACCACACACAGAACAGCATACATTCTGCTAGAGAGAGGTTGCCTGAAGATGGGCTCCAGCATGGGTTTGAAAGCTCAGAAGAGAAAACCTCTGATCCCAGTGACTGACTTGGATCCTGCAGAAGATGTTAAGCTGAATTCCTCAATGTAATCCAAACTCCATGTGCCCATGAATTTTCAACTTCTGATATCAACAGAAACTTGCTTATGGTATTTCATTTCTTAAATTGTTCATTTTTTTAAAAAAAAGAAAAGGCTGCTTAAATAACTCAGAACTCCTAAATAGCAATACTGAAAAATATATTCACCGTCTGTTTTAAACTAACATTAGAATAGTTTTTAACTTCCATGAATGTTTCAGAGCTAAATTCTGATACTGGGGTAAATATGAAACAGCTATCAATCATCATTACTCCCTATCTAGTTCCCAATCAGCAGCTGCTAGTAATGTGAAGTGGGGAAATCTGCATCACAACCTGCAGTGAATTCCAGCAGATATTCCACAGAACTGGAATGGACCAGTTTTTAGATATTACCGTCACATTATACGAGGGAGTAATAAATGACAGCCTGCACACACATGCACACATTCATATATATATGCAGACACAGCTTGTGTCCGTAGCCTTTACGTGTTAGAATAATAGGTTAGGATTAACAGCAGGGAAGGTTAAAGACCCCCTCAAACTTTCCTGACCTAACTGACTTATTAATGTTGCTGATGTTGATTTTATTTAGTGCCCTATATCTGCAAGACATATTGATTATAGTGCAGAAAACTAGGGCAGTGAGTGTTAGTTTATGGTCAGAAAGGACACTGTCACTGAAACTTGAAAAAACAGAAACTTGAAAAAATAGACTGTTAGGGCCTATCAAAACGCTAAAACAGGCTTAAGGAGGCAAGAGGCATGAGGATAGAAACAACAGTATACTCTTGTGATGGGTCACAACAAACAACCAGAAGTGTAACATGTGAACACTGGAACAACTGTATATACACGACACCTTATTTACAGTGGGAAGCCCCTGTAAATCTGTATCAAAGAGTTATTTTTACATAGACTTCATAAATAATCTTGTCCACCTCAATTTATATCTATTGATCATTCTACAGTAGCCTTAAATCTTCCCCATTCCCAAACTGGTAACTTCTTCCCTACCACTGGCATATTTAATGTCGACTGGTGAGACAGCCAGACCTGAGTTGCTATAATTTCCAGACATTTATCAATGACATAGGTACAGCCAACTGAAAGCTAAAGAACGGAGAAGAGAAATAGTTCTGCTCTAGGAAATTGGTCACAAGAGAACATTTAGCCTTAAGACAGTGGTTCTCAACCTTTTTAATGCCGCGACCCCCAAACGGTCGTAAATTGAGGACTAAACCAGTCGTAAGTCGAGGACTAAACCGGTCGTAAGTCGAGGACTAAACTGGTCGTAAGTTGAGGACTACCCAACCGGTCGTAAGTCGAGGACTTTCCCTGCCCGGGAGCGCCGCGCATGCGTGGTTCCGCCCCCTGCGCTGGCCGAGGCGTAGCTGGCAAGTGGCAGAGATGGAGCAGGCTGACCACCAGCTGGCCCAGCCCAAGGGAGGTAAGGCACCCGCCGGAAAAGGGGAAAAAAATGGCGGACAGCCTTGCTTGGCGACCCCCGTGAAATGGTCGATCGACCCCAAATGGGGTCGCGACCCATAGATTGAGAACCGCTGCCTTAAGAAGTTCTTCTATTGGTTGCTAGAGCAGTATCAGGTTCTTGGTGGAGACTGTACTTCTGTTGGTGTTTTGAATGTTTTGTTATCAATTGAAAGAAGAGGGGAGAGGGGAAAAGAAGACGATACTGTATGAAGTCTTAGGAACTGCATCCAAAAGACCCTATAAGCTAAAACAGATCTTTTTGAAAGGAAATACAGCAGACACGGTCAAGAGCAAGTGGAAAAAAGGTTGTTATCCTGTTATCTAACAAATCTGTCAAGGTATCCTCAATTAATCATTAATCCAGCAAATGTCAAGGCTCCAAGTCACTCTCCATGACCCTGCATACTAGGCAAACATTATCTTTTTCCTGGAAGCAGTGGAAAGGATTTTAAGGACTTTCCAGGCCCCAGCAGACCACAAAGCTAACTGAAGACATAACCCAGAAAGCAAGAGACAAGAGGCGAAGAGAAACTTGGTTTTTCTCCTGTTGATTGTTGCAGATCAAGCAAGGAAATATTGCCTGACGTTTTCATCTACGTCACAGCCTTGAAATGAATGAAAACTCCACAACAGAGGAGTCAAAAAGTTCCAAGTACGGAGCTTGTTAGAATGCAATGCAAAAGTAATTCAAAAACCGCTATTTCAATCACAGTTTAATGATTCCCAATATCCTAAAGTGTGATGCAGAAGCTAGCACTCACTAACTGTACTGTGATTTCCCCCCCCCCACACACACACACTTAAAGGTTATCTCCCTGTGCATTATTTTCTGCTGCTTTTTAATCTACCAGTTTGCCTATTTTGAAAAAAATCAGTATTGATAAAGGAGAATATTTGTAACTCCGAGTTGAAGTGAGGGGAGAGCACCAAGGACCCTTCAAAAATATATATGTACTAATTATATAGGTAACTATAGATTTGTAATTTACAGCTAAAATTATGTATCATACCTTTTAAAAACACTTTTATGTGTTTTTTTCTTTTCTTTCACAATACATACATGTATGCATACATTTTTTTATGGTTTCTCTGTCATTATTTTAAAAGTAATAAAAATAATTTTTAAAAAGAAATAAAGAAAGAGCAAGGTCACTTCCAGGCAGATCCTACTTTCTCTACAGGCATAAATGGTAAGTCCGAGAGGACCTTTAAAGCATGGAAGAACTCTGTCTGGGGAAAGTGCTATCCCGTTCTGAGAGAAAGATAATTTCTAAGATGCGACCTCACAGTTAGTCCCTCAATAATTAAGTTCATGGCTGCTATGAACCCCCAAGCTACCTCTGAATCCACAACTAAAGAAGGCAAACTGAAATCCCCAATGTCCTAAGTTCTGGAAACTTTACTACCAAACTGGTCACAGCATCAAGCAGCTCATGTACGGCAGCCTCTTTGTAGCATGAAGGCTGATACACCAGCAGCAGTCCTAGTGTCATGTGTCTGATTAACGAAACACTTAAAAGGACTTTCAGGCATATTTTCTCCTAAAAGCATTTATTAAGGTTACAGAGACGTCAGTACAGCATGGTGGAAATGCTTAGGTCTGGCTTCTTTTCCATTACGCATATACATTCTAAGCATTTCCCGCCCCCTTATTTTGGGGTCATGGTTCACATCTTCCAATCAACTTGGAAGATGTGATTTACTTCTGGTTTCTTTTTCCCGGGTTATCCTTATTCTCCTCCCTTTTTCCCTGTTGCCTGGTTTAACTATAAAAATACCAGACAGTTCTGCATATTGTCAAAGCAAGAATATACAGTATTTGCAGCGTTGACACCTAGCTGATCTCTAGAGCTCAACTTCATGAGCAGGATCTCATATCCGGTTTCTGCAGAAGTAGTAGCCCCAGAAGCCACTGGAGTCCCTCAAATGACAATCACAACACCTCTGCCCCTACCCTTGAGATGCCTGCCAAACAAAACATTGGTGGGCACGCTTCCAAGAGGGGCACCCCACCTCAGCCCCATGTCCTGCAAGGTTCATATAATACATGCAAGGTAGGCATGCACAACTAGATTGTAGATGAGGGAAACTTTATTACAAGCCAAGCATGCATTCAGGACCAACAGTCAGAAACTAGGGCAATTAGGGCTAAAGGGCAGAGAGAGGAAGGGAACATCTGACTATACAGCTCCAGCTGACCCTTGATCAAGCACAGGAGACACAGGAGACAGGCAACTTCACCTACTGGATCATCCAGATGGTCACCAAACCATTCTTAATCCGTGGATTCATGAAACTCTGAACAGTTCTGAAAAAACATCCAGCCAGTTATCAAAGCTCTGCCACCTCTACAAACTTACAGCAACCTACAGTCTAATAAGCCCATAACTCCTATGAGCCTATCCTAAAGATTTCAGGACAGACTCATAGGAGTTAAGGGTTTATTAACATCTTTTCCAGATCTCAGTACCATCATCCAGCTTTTGCAGGGAACATAACACTAATTCCGGGCAACATAAGCCCACTGAATTAGCACATACCTCCTTAGTTCTCATCAAAAGTTCTCTTTGCTCTCACTTTTAATCAAACACAGCACTTGCAACAAAGGAGAGCTGATAAGCCACTCTAGCAGCTCTGTTAGAATCTGCTGAAACTCATGGAATTAAGAGAGGATTGAGGTTGAATTGCTCCAGCCCTCTTCTCTCGCTGTGTCCCCCACCCAACCCACCATAACAATATTAAGGTATACATACGTTGAGCTTGTCTGTGGTTGTTCAAATGCTTCTTTAGGAATTTTCAAGCCTGGATTTTTCTTCTTGCCTGAGAAAATTTTTAAAAATGCATTAATTTTTTTAAATTAAGGTTTAGCCTCGTCTTGCAAAGTCTGCCCTAGACATCAATCACTTTTCTTGAGGAATACTTGAGAGTACACGATTCAGCATATACGGTCCTTTACTAAAACTTACTTTCTGCCTCAGTAAGTCCTAATATATTTAGGAATCTATCTGCAATACAGTAATCTCAATACTGTATTCGGGATGGCAGAATGATCTACCATAACCCACCATTTCTTAGAAAGACTCAATAGAAATCCAAGCCTTACAATGATCAGGAGAAAATGAGACCCTGACAGCGTGCACAGATGATGCGAGTGGAAAACCTGAAAACCCAAATGGATGCCTTCAAAGAAAAGAGCTTTTGCGCAGAGCCTTTTAGTAGCTTGGGATCTTCTCACCCTAATACTTCTTGACCCTAATGTATTTGAACATCTAGGATGCCACAAAGGAACCAAATTACACATATTATTTAAAACTGTATGAATGGAATTTATTCCAAGCACAAAAAAAGGAAAGCTTTATTAGTCAAGATTGATTGGCTTGCATCGAAAGTGTGAGGCTCCAATAATACCCACGTTAATGCTTCCATAAATCTATTTTACTCAAAGAACGTAAAAAGAAGCTACTAGGTGACTTCCAATTACTTTAAATTTGAACGCAGATAGCCCAGAAGCCAAAAAAGATAAACAAGTCAATTTCAGCAAGCAGAACTACCAAAATTGTCTTTTTGCATCCTGCTGTGATTCTATAAGTAGGAGAAAGGACAATTTATTTGGTTTAACACTGAAAAACCTCTGGCCACCAGTTTGGACATCTGTGCCTTCATCATTTTATATATGGCAACAGGCTTCCTTCTGTGACAGTAAGCACAATATTAAAGGCACAGCATGCAACTTTTGCTGAGTAACCCAACAGGCAATGGCAGGAGCCATATCTGACCCTATCGGTTAAAGCAGAGGTCCCCAACCTTTTGGGCACCAGGGACCAGTTCCGTGGAGAAAGGTTTTTCCATGGCCAGAGAGTGTGTGGTTTTGTGTGCTGCCTGCATCCCACGGATGGGGCTTTGCTTGTTTGTGCAGACTGGTTGCTGGCATGCTGTGGCCCGGTACCGGTCCGCAGACCAGGGGTTGGGGACCCCCGGTTAAAGAACTTAGTTTCTTGGTGAAGTCTAAGAAGAGGCCATTGCTCTGCCTTATGGAACATCCTTGCCACAGAGGTGATGTTAGCCCCCCAACTCCCCTGGTCTTCCAGAAGAGCATGAAGACCTGGCTCTGTCAACTCACATGGGATGGTTGGTACCTTGAAGGCACTCCCTCTGCGTTTTCACTTATCTTTTTACCTTTGTTTTTCCTTGTTCCTTTTCTTTCTTTTAGGTCTATTTTAATTGTATCTCCTTATATGGTTTTATGATCTTTACTTTTTTTATCCATTTTGAATGGATAACATCATCATCATCGTGAGCCTTTACTTGTAACCGGCCCACAGTCACTTGGAAAGTGAGATGGGCAGTGTCTAGATTTGATTAAATAAATAAATTTTAAGAAGGATTCTCAAGCCTGCCCCTTTCCCAGGACAGAGCTGTCTTTTACTTTTCCCTTAATAGCTCTTGCACATCTTTGTCAAGGTTAACTCCATATTATGCTACAGCAGTTTCCATTCCTTTTTAGAGTTAAAAATGCAAAAAAAATATACAGGTAATTCTCGACTTATGACCACAAATTTCTGTTGCTAAACAAGACAGTTGTTAAGTAAGCTTTATCTAATTTTAAAACCTTTCTTACTACAGTTGTTAAGTGAATCATTGCAGTTCTCAAGTTAGTAACACATTTATTAAGTGAATCTGGCTTCCCCCATTGACATTGCTTGTTGGAAGGTCACAAAAGGTGATCATATGACCCCAGGACACTGTAATGGTCATAAATATGAGTCAGTTGCCAAGCATCTGAATTTTGATCACATGACTGGGGGTGCTGCAATGGTTATTAGTGTGAAAAACAATCATAAAACACTTTTTTCAGTGCCATTGTAACTTTGAACAGTCATTAAAAGAATGGTTGTAAGTCAAGGACTATCTGTAACAAAACAATGGATCTCGGAGTCCTAGTGGACCATCACTTAAATATGAGCCAGCAGTGTGCTGCAGCTGCCAAAACAGCCAACACAGTGCAGGGCTGCATTAACAGAGGGAAAGAATCAAGATCACGTGAAGTATTAATACCACTTTACAATGCCTTGGTAAGGCCACACTTGGAATACTGCATCCAGTTTTGGTCACCACAATGTAAAAAAGATGTTGAGACTCTAGGAAGAGTACAGAGAAGAGCAACAAAGATGATTAGGGGACTGGAGGCTAAAGCATATAAGGAACGGCTGCTGGAATTGGGTATGTCTAGTTTAATGAAGAGAAGGACGAGGGGGGACATGATAGCAGTGTTCCAATATCTCAGGGGCTGCCACAAAGAAGAGGGAGTCAAGCTATTCTCCAAAGCACCTGAAGGCAGGACANGACAAGAAGCAACGGGTGGAAACTAATCAAGGAGAGAAGCAACCTAGAACTAAGGAGAAACTTCCTGACAGTTAGAACAATTAACCAGTGGAACAACCTGCCTCCAGAAGCGGTGAATGCTCCAACACTGGAAGTTTTTAAGAAGAGACTGGACAGCCATTTGTCCGAAATGGTATAGGGTTTCCTGCCTGAGCAGGGGATTGGACTAGGTGACCTCCAAGGTCCCTTCCAACATTATCATCATCATCATCATCATCATCATCATCATCATCATCATCATCATTATTATTACAATACAAAATAATAACAAAAGTTACAAGACAAGAAAAAGACAAAGAGCATCATGAACAAAACATCCAAGCTCAGCCAAGATGGGGGGTTCTAAGTTATAGTATGCTTCCTCCCAGGGCTTTCTTAGTAAGCCAAGTTTTAACTTCTATTCTGAAAATACAAATTGGGGGCTAGTCTGATCTTGCATAACAAGCATTTCCTAAATATAGGCAACTCTGTTTCCATATTCTGGTGTTCTGGTTTGCAGCTACCAGACATCCATTAATTGGCAGCAAAGAGTTACACAAAAGCAAACAATTAAAAAAAATTAAAAAAATTACTCAGGTGTACTAGATCAACTGGCTAAGTATCTTAGAAGATCTGTAATCATGGTTTTACTGACTGTGGCTTTTAAGGGGAAAAATAATAGGAGCTATTTGAGAAGTACAATCTACACAAGTAGATCACTCTCTTCCAACAGTTTTGGGGAACATAGTTAAAATGTCAACCATGATTGTCAGGGATGTTTCTTCTTACTACTCAGTATACTATATTGTTTCCAATATTATAGTATCTCAAGAGATACAGAATACATAAAATGCACCAGAAAAATAATAAACTGTTAAAAACATGCACAGGAGGAAGGAGAGGAAAATGAAAACAAAACAAAACTGATCAGGGCGTCACCTGATAGTGTGGCAATAAATCTCTCTCAAGAAACACAAACACACATGTAGGAGCTTAGCTGTAGAAGAGTCAAGGCCGTGGTTCAGCTTCCCATAGATAAGTTTGTTTCTTTTTTAGGCAGATGTGAGGAAAAACTCTTACAATGATGATCAGTCACTGCAGAATCTGGGAATCTAGCCATATTTATACATCAGTTCAAGAGTGTAAACTCTACATCTTCTTATTCGTAAGCGAAAGTCCACTCATTTTTCAGCTCTGGAGGCTAACAGCACCTGCAGTGTCTTAACAATGACACTTTTTTTCCCACTTTAGCCAACTTCAACCTCCCTGGTTCCATGTTACAGGTATTCCTTGACTTACCACAATTGAGTCCAAAATTTCCATTGTTAAGCTAAGACAGTTGTCAAGTGAATTTTGCCCCATTTTATGACCTTTCTTTCCACTGTTGTTAAGGGAATCACTGAAGTTGTTAAAGTTAGTAACGTGGTTAATTAAGTGAATCTGGCTTCCCCATTGACTTTATATTATATTATACTTTCTCATTGTGACAGCATCCTCACTGGGAGAAAAATAACCCAAAATCTCTCCAACTCTAAAGACCCTTCAAAATTTAAAGCCCCAACTAACATAGGCTAATGTATAGGACACGATACACCCTTTAATCTCAGACTAAGAGATAAGCAGCCTTGATATTGATGAAGTGACCTCTGATGAAGTTTGGCCTCAGGACATGATTGTCCAACTACAGAGAAATATCACCCACTCTGGAATCTGGTGGATTCTTAAATGGAAGTTTTTGTACAAGCCAGAATCGTTGGCCTTATTTATATTCTACATGATTCTCTTACTATAGTTTTACAATATAAGTAGTACTGGCCTACATGACTTTGGCTTCCTACTCTGGTATACCTTGAAGAGCTGACAATACCTCTCCTGAGGAATAGATGATAAGATAGGTTTGCTGTCTAAATAAGCTGCTTTCCAATGTCTGTAATAGGATTGTCTGATCCAGTGAGTCTCTTAGACCCGCATTAGCTGAATCTGCAAGACTTATTGCATTCCTTCGGCTCTCATTTCAAACATTTACACCCTTAGACTAAACAAGAGCCACTGAGGAAAGGTGCTTTCTGGCCAAATCTTCAGATCCCCACTCACATAAAATAAACTGAGAAACAAAACAGCCATTTGTCTTTCAGAGGAATCTGGCACAGGATGACTGGAGGTCTGGGCCTCACAAATGTATTTTTCCTCTCAGATCACTAAAGACCTGAATGGAGCTTCAATTCTTCTGAAATAAAGCAAATAGCAGCCTAGTCAATCTCATTTATAGTACTTCTGGCATATCATCTTCTGACACCTGAAAAGAATGATATGTGCAGGGTTTGGGGAAATACAATCTTCTCATGCTACTGAACTACATTGTTTTCATGTATTGAGTTGTTTCTTTAAGTTAAACTCCTTTATGAAGCCATTCTTTATGAGGCCCTAACATTAAGTCCCTTTCAAACAAACTACCTCTGTGGGGTGACTAAGGTACCAGACTAAAAACCAGAAGACTGTGTAATCCTGTCTTAGACACAAAACAAGCTGGGTGCTCTTCAGCCAGCCATTCTCTTTCAGCCCTAAAGAGAAGGTAATGGCAAACTACGTTTAAAATCTTGCCAAGAAAACTGACAGTGATTGAGAAATATGACACATATATCAAGGGTGACACACGACATTCTGGGTGACATGCCAGCATTCACCAACATCCAACAACAACTATTCTCAAAATTACATCCCCTTCTTGTGCAATTTTCAGGGGCTACGTGAGAATGGGGCCCTGAAATAAAAAGTGATCTACGCAGCCTCCAAATCCTCAAGAAGTTTCACAAGAGGGTCATACTCGCATGTGGCCTTGGGAACTTCTGAATATTGAGATGCCCATGAGAACAAGACATGCTTTTGCATGGTTTTTGGAGGCTGCAAAGACCATGGAAGAGCTTTCTCCCAAGCCGTTTCAAGAACAAAGGGCCTCGTTGACCCAGAGCAGCCTAGGGTGGGCCACAAGGAGAACACACCTTGGAGAGCAGTGTGAGGTAGACTTTTTGAGTGGCAGCAGTAATTCATGACGGGCTAGATGGGAGTGATGGTAGAGAACTGTTTCTCTTTTGTTTGGGAGTGTGATATGCCTGCAGAGTCAAGTTAGGCATTGTCTGAATTTTTGACGCACCAAGGCCAAAACATTCTCCATCACTGGTCTAGGCGGTCCCGAAGATTCAACACTGACTTCAAAGCTCCCCCCTCCCCAGAAAAAAAGCACAACTCAAAGTTGCAAGGCTGCCCAGGGATAGCGTTGTCCAACCTTTTGGAACTGATGAACGTATCCAGAATTTTGAGGTGTTATGAATGGCTGCTGTGGGGAACAGCCAATTACAAAGCATCAATTTATCATGATGTCATCCCTCTGGAACCATTCTACTCAAACAGGGCATTCCTTTTTTTTTTTTAAGGCAAACAGACACTTGGCTGCAAGAGACCCTCATTTTTATTTCATAGGGGGGTCTTATGGTCTGCTTGGTGCTAAAGAGAGATGATGCTGGAAGTTGGCATTCTGTTTTGCAGCATAATAGTTTTCAGTTATTTATGATTAACAAGAGCATCAGGGAGCCTGGAGACTGAAAAGGAGAAAGTCTACAGCTGTGACAGTGGTTGGCGAGCCACACTCGGATTTATAAAGATGATGGAACCCAGTTGGCCCTATGCTAAGCACTTCATTTGTGACCTAGCATGGTTCAAATGCTGCTACTCGTTTAGCTCTCAGTCTTGCATAATATATATTAAATTTGCAGGAGAGGAGAGCAGAGACAAGACAGCTAAGCTTCACAGGAAACTTAAAACATAAGAACAGACCTGTTAGACCAGGTCAAGGCCCATCTTATCCAGTATTGTGTTGTATCTCACCTTCCTGGAGTAAATATCCATCAGGTATTTGCAAGCAGAGTCCTCTCACGGTTGTTTCCCCTACAAATGGTGTGTTGCCACCAACCTGAAAGTAACAAGGAGTCTTCCACACTAATAGCCCTGAATTTAGATAATTCCATTTCAAAGCCATCCAAATTAGGGGCATCACCATATCTCACGGTAATGAATGCCAGGTTAATTAGGCTCTGTGCAAATGTAGTTTCTAGCAAATAAGCTTCCTTAAACAACCTCTCATTCTAATACTTGGAGAAAGCAACAAAATATTTTCTCAGTCTACTTTTTCCTCCTCCTCCTTTTCATTCTGTCTATGCACTCAATGCTCTATGCACATATCTATTCAGCTCTCCAGGAAGCTGGCCTCCTCAGTTGGGCAGCTAAAGCATTGACTATACCAGGGGTAGGCAACCTTGGCTCTTTTATGACTCATGGAGCTATGCTGGCTCAGGAATTCTGGGAGTTGAAGTCCATGAGTCATAAAAGAGCCAAGGTTGCCTACCCCTGGACTATACTAATGAAGCATTCTTGTATCTTATTTTCAATTTTTTAAAATATGTTTTTATTTTATTTCCAAAGTTAAAATACAAAGTAGAAAAAAAGAAGAGGAAAAAAAGAAAAACAAAACAATACAAAACCAAAAAAAATATATACATAAAAACAAAGTAACAAAGATACATATAGATTGTCCTCCCTGGTTGAATTCTGATAAATATATTTCAACAATAATAGTTTCCCCCATTGTAAAACAGGTCCACAATTTAAATAAAACAGTCAACAGGTAACTCCAACAACAAGATAAATTTCAAAGCCCTCTGTTAATGGTTTATTATTGTATTTAACATTATTGTATTTAACTCAACATTAAGAAAACCAAGATCATAGCATCCGGCCCTCTCAATTCCTGGCAAATAGATTGGGAAGAAATGGAGGTAGTGACAGATTTTATCTTTCTGGGCTCAAAGATCAGCGGAGATGGGGACTGCAGCCAAGAAATTAAAAGACGTTTGCTCCTGGGGAGGAAAGCTATGGCAAATCTAGACAGCATACTAAAAAGCAGAGACGGGGCGTTGTCTTACCTGAACGCCTTTTCTCAGTACGGAGATGGAGAATTCACATGTGGGTTTTCATTGGATGCCTGCTCTTGAGACCAAGTAGTCAAACTTGACACGCCCCCTCTTGCTGATCCAGTCTTTAACGAGGGCGAAGTGACTGAAGATGGACGAGGTGTTGGCTCTCAGACCCCTACAATAGCCTGACTGACCTCAAGGGGTGGGTGTGAATTCTCCATCTCCGTACTGAGAAAAGGCGTTCAGGTAAGACAACGCCCCTTCTCCAGTACGGGAGATGGAGAATTCACATGTGGGACATACCCAAGCTCCACAGTCCCAATGGGTGGGAAACATATGAGCCCTAATTAGAGTCTCCAGCAACCACCTGCTGAAGAACCCTTCTTCCAAAGGAAGCATCAGTCGCAGCGAAACGGTCAATTTTGTAATGGCGTACAAACGGGGAAGGCGACGACCAAGTCGCAGCCCTACAAATCTCGTCAATGGACGCCTGTGTGGACCATGCTGCCGATGTCGCAGCGCTACGAGTGGAATGCGCAGTAATACGTCTAGGAGCCGGCAGGGATGAGGACTGGTACGCCTCCGCAATACAGGCCCTGATCCACCTGCCAATAGTACCCGAGGAAACCTTCTGGCCCAAAGAGGCCGGACGGTAGGAAATAAATAGGGCCTCTGACTTACGAAATGGCTCTGTACGTTTAATATAACGCCACAACGCCCTACGGATGTCTAGCGTGTGCCACTGCCGCTCCAAGTCGTGGGGACCAGGACGTGACGACCTTTGATCGTGTGCCTGAATTGGCGTAGAGCCAGGTGTATGGCCCTGAGCTCCAACCAATTTATGTTGTGTCTCAAGTCTGCGCGTGACCAGCGGCCTTGCGCAAACTGAGACCGTAGATGGGCCCCCCATCCGAACAGACTGGCGTCCGTAGTGATGGTGATGCGGTCCGGTTCCTTGAAGGGAGACCCCTGGTTTATAGCCCGCGAGAACCACCAGCGGAGCGCTTTGCGGACGTGAACCAGAACCCTGACCTGAATACTGGATGCACTGGTGTTTGTGCGCTGGAATGGAAGTAGGAACCACTGTAGGTCCCGCAAGTGCAGTCTGGCCCAGGGAACAATGGCTATGCAGGAGACCATCTTTCCTAAAAGTTGAGATAGTAGGAGTAACGGGACAGAATGTTCCTTGTGCACCCGGCGAGCCAGGTCCCTGATGCTGACCGCTCGCTCCTGGGAGAGATAGACCATGCAATTGGAGGTGTCTATCACGGCCCCCAGGTGCAAGAGTCTGGACGCGGGAACTGTCTGGCTCTTTTGAAAGTTGACCGAGAAGCCATGTAGTTGAAGTACCCGGATGGCGTAATTCACATCCCTCTGAGCCGCCTGCCAGGAGGACGCCTGAATTAGGATGTCGTCCAGGTAGCATTGGACGCGAATGGGAACCTTCCTCAACTGGGCTGCCAGGACTGCCAGGATTTTTGTGAATACCCTGGGAGCCGACGAAAGACCGAAGGGGAGGGCCCTGTACTGAAAGTGTTTGCCCTGGTAGCAGAACCTCAGGAACCGGCGGTGAGCTGGATGAATGGGGGATGTGGAGATAAGCCTCTGTGAGGTCTATTGATGCTAAAAAATCCCCTTGTCTGATCCCTCCTAGTATGGACTGGAGGGATTGCATCTTGAACCTTTTGTAGGTAATGTAATGGTTGAGATGCTTGAGGTCTAGGATAGCTCTCCACCCCCCTGAGGACTTGGGTACCACAAAAAGGATTGAATAAAACCCTTTCCCTCTGTGGTCTTTTGGAACCGGTTCTATTGCCTGAATTTCTAAAAGGTGGTGGATGGCCTCCTGCATAAGTTCCCGTTTCTGTGGATTTCTGGAAACGGAGCAAAGTATGAGTCGTTCTGGGGGTGTGGCTAGAAACTCCAGGGACAGACCGTGCTGGATGGATTGTAGCACCCAGTTGTCCGTGGAGGAAAGTTCCCACTGGTGGAAGAAGTGAGCTAGCCGCCCCCCAATGGGAAGGGATGTGTGTGAGTCATTTAAACTTCCTAAATGGGCGTCCTGCCCCACGAAATGGCCGTTTACTTTGTCCCTGCTGTCTGGGCCTAAACCCGGTCCTATCGTAAGGGCGGTCATATGGCCTCTCTCTGGGAGTAAAGGAGCGGGAAGTCTGGGTGGTGGAGACTCCCGCAGGCTGCCGAAAGGACTGCCTACGAAAGTAGGGGGTGGGACGCTTGTCAGACTTCTTAATTATATGGGCCATGACCTTGCGTTTATCCTTGTTTTCGACCAGATAAGGAGCAAGGGATTCCCCAAACAAATTATTACCCAGGTAAGGTGCCGACGCAAGACCCCATTTAAGTCTGGTATCAGCCTGCCAATGCTTCAACCACAACATCCTCCTGGCCGTGATGTTGGAGGCCAAGGATCTAGAGGCAAAGACTGCAGACTGAAGGGAGGCGTCCGCAGTGTATTCAGTGGCCGCCACCATTTTACTCAGGTCCTGATGAGTACGTAAGTCTTCAGCAGGGACCCTGGCTTGGAGCTGACGCAACCAAAGAAGGGTGGTTCTGACAAAAAAGGATGTGCAGCTGGCCGCTTTAATAGCCCAGGCCGCTGATTGGTGTGTCTTCCTGAATGTATGTTCCTATTTTTTATCGTCCGCTTTCAGCGCCTGTGTCAAGTCCCCAGCAACCGCCGTTTGAGATACCAATGGGGTCCAAGCCTCGTCTACCTTAGGAACCTCCAGCGCATCACTGAGATCAGTGGAGGGGCTGAATAACTTTCTGTCGGTCCCACTAACGGAAGGAAGCGAGGCCGGTGAGGCCCATGGCTTCTTAATCCCTTTAAGGAAGATGGAAGGACATGGAACATGGTGTTCGGTAGCCACTTTCTCAAAGAATATAGGGTGAGGGTCGGTATCCGACGCCACTGGTGGTTGAGGGAATTGGTCAGACCCTAAGTTCGCGGTTGCTGTAGCCTTACGAAGGATTGACAGGAAATGAGCTGGATTGAAGAGACCCCCTGAAGTGGAAGGTTCAGGGGGGAGTTCCTCATCTTCTGAAAGCAGAAGATCCGGTTGCTCCCCACCTTGAGGGAAGGAAAAACCACTCACCGAAGAGTGCGCGGGAGACATAGGCTCCTGAATCATGGGGAATTCTGCGGGAATCTCGTAATGGGGCATTGCCGAGGTGGAAGCCCCCTGATCAGTTGATGGAGAGGGGCGCTGAGCTAAGGCTCTATCCACCACCTTGGAGAGCAAAGCCTCGAGGCGCGCATCAGCAAAGATATCTGCCAAGTCCACCCCCCTGGAACCCAAGGCTGTGGGTGTAACTGTGGGCTCTAAAACAGTCCCAGAGGGAATTGTGGGGTGTTGAACCACAGTGGGGGGAGAACTTATGCTCACCGGGGTTCCCGGAACAGACCAAACTCCCTGGGCAGAAGGGTCTGGTCCTAAGGGCAGATCGACTTCAGTATCCTCCATCTGCCTTGACTCAAGCTCGGCTTGCTTCTGCGCTCTGGAGAACTCCTTCTCCAGAGCCTGGTGCCTACGGCTGGCTTGCTTCTCCGCCAGCTTAGAAGGTTTCGTGAGCACATGTTTAGTTTTTGCTTTTGCCTTGCCTGCCGTCCCCTGTCCAGAGGACATAGTGCAGCCGTGACCGGAAGATGGGGTGGATTGAGGTAAAGAAGAGCCTTCCATCTCAGTGAGCAGTCTCAGATAAGCTGAGGTGACGCTCAGGCAGGCAAGAAGCTGGCGGAGGCGAAATTGGAACAAACACAGAGGCTGTTCCCCTGACCACCCGACCAAAATAATAAATTCTCTCTCTGGGCAATGGTCACGGCCCTTGAGTTAGGTACCGAAGGCACGGTTGGAACCACCCTTTGTGTTCCTCCCCGGAGGCCTTAGGTGGCCAGGCAATGTGCACCAGTAAGGAAAAAAATTCCCAATGAAGGATCAGATGGCTTGAAGAAATCAGGCTCAGTAAATGATGAGACTACCCAACAGAATTAATATTGTGATTAGTGAAACTGATAATGAGGGCACGTTAGATGTGAGTGCAGCTAAGGTGTATCCGTCCTTTGGGCCTAAGAAGCTGCCACGTGGTATTCAAAATGGCGGCCGCCAAGTATAAAACAATCTATTTCTTTATTATAGATTTGAGGAGATCAGCAATTGAGCCAAGTTCAGAATGCAGAACGAATTCTCACTCTGGGTGAAGTTCTGAAACACTCACTAAAGCAGAGAGCTGGAATCTTACAATAGGCCTTACAGCTCCTCGCCCAAAATTTCGGGCCTAAAATGGCGGCCGCAAGATCGTTTAGCCAAATTAATAGCACCGCGGCCCCAAGTAAGGCTCTGGCCCTCGATTGCCTTTAGTGAATTTCCCCCCTGCGATCCTCTGTTCGATCGCCGAATCGAAAAGGAAATAAATAGCTTCGTTGCCTTTTCCGGCAACCAAAATGGCGCCCGCGATCAAAACAGAAGGCCGAGAAGTTCCCTAAGGTTGAAAATGCTCCGAACGCAGCCCGACAGGCTGCAGGAGCAAACGCTGTGCCCTGGGGGCAAGAACAGCCGTTCTTTGAAAGGCGAGTATTAGGGAGCTTTTCCCCCCCCCAGAGCCCTGGGGAAAGAATGGAAGGATCGGGAAGGAATTTCCCCCCCCACTCCCTTACCTCCCTCAAGTGTGGAAATTTATGCTAGCACTGATCCCAGTGCTAAGAAATTTAAAGGGGAAAAACCAAATTAAAGCTGGAAGTTTGGAAGGGGATTTTTAAGGGAAAGGAGAATTCACTCAAGTTTTCTAACCTGCTATTGACTGAGAGCCAACCTAGACACGTCGTCAAGAGCTGAGACCAAGTTAAAGACTGGATCAGCAAGAGGGGGCGTGTCAAGTTTGACTACTTGGTCTCAAGAGCAGGCATCCAATGAAAACCCACATGTGAATTCTCCATCTCCCGTACTGGAGAAATCACCCTGCCAACAGAAGTACGTATAGTCAAGGCCAGGGTTTTCTCAGTTGCAATGTATGGATGTGAAAGTTGGACCATAAGAAAGGCTGAGCGCCAAAGAATTGAGGCCTTTGAACTATGGTGCTGCAAGTCCCCTGGACTGCAAGGCAATCAAACTGGTCAGTCCTAGAGAAGATCAACCCTGACTGCTCTTTAGAAGGCCAGATCCTGAAGTTGAAACTCAAGTACTTTGGCCACCTAATGAGAAGGAAGGACTCACTGGAGAAGAGCCTAATGCTGGGAAAGATTGAGGGCAATAGAAGAAGGGGACGACAGAGAATGAGGTGGCTGGATGGAGTCACTGAAGCAGTAGGCATGAGCTTACATGGACTCCAGAAGATGGTAGAGGACAGGAAGGCCTGGAGGAATGTTGTCCATGGAGTCGCAATGGTCAGACATGACTTCGCAACAACAACAACAACAACAACATTGTATTTAATTTGCGGAAAGCTCTCAAACAGCTAGCAAACTACCATAAGCTCACTGCAATCATTATCTCTGATCTGTCCAAGATCAAATATCCTTGATTGATTCTTATTTTCATTTTTGAAAGACATTACATTATAATCTCCATCCCTGCCAACACTACTATACTCCTTGTCCCTGCTTTAAAACTGCTCCTACGTTCCAGATAAAGGAGGTGGGGACAAACATAGAGATTTTTTTTAAAAAAAAATCCCAAGTATTCACTGTTCAAATTATAGTTTATATCATACCACCAGTAGGCCTATAAGAATAATATGGAATTATCACCTTTGCTCTAAATCTGCAATTTATTTGAGAACACAACCAGATTATTAAGAGGAAAAGGTACATTTTCAAACTAAAATACAGTACCATGATGAGCAAGATGCCTTTTGACAAAGAAAGGGGATTTTGGCAACCCATCAACCAGTTCAGGTGCACATCTGGGCCTGTTTGCCACTGCCCTTGTTGGATGTTTATCTCTGGCCTATCTACACCACTGGCTGCATTTGGAGACTACCAGACAAAACAGAGAGGAAACAGTTAACATGGAAAGAGGGTTACAGAGGCAGAGAGGGACAAAAAAGAGGAGGATTTATGGAACACTTTAGAAAAAAGGCTAAGCTAGCACAATGTTTTACGATTAAGGCAAAGTTGAACTGCATGGTGACCCTTGGAATTATTGTAAAAGCATCTAGCTCTTCACTTGATCCTACATGCATTCCAAGAGGTTATAAAACATCAACAGATTGCCATAAGCTCTTAGAAGTATAAGGCCAAATTAATTCTTATAAAGCTTACTGCTAGGGGACAGGAACATTAAACTGATCTCAGGTGTATTGTAGCATTTCAAACCAGAAAGATAGCTGGCCAAACAAATAACAACCTTTCTCATGCTATAGGGTTCAAAGAAATCATATGGGGAGGGTGTCTTGGGGGGATGTTACTTAAGATTGGGTAGTGACCTTGGTCTGTATGTCCTACATTTGCCTAAGGAAGAAAGGCAAAAGGGAGGACTTTACAACATTAAAAAGAAATTGCGGCTTCACTGTGTTACTAAGGGGTGCTGCTGCTTGCAGTCTCTAGGAACACTTTTTCTCATCCTAGAGATGTTTACCTAGTACGCTGCTAGAATCAGTTCTGTTTTTAATACAGATCTCCTCCTTCTGAAGTCTACAACTCACACTGGCTTGCATTACAGCTCCTAGCAACTTCCAGAACATAGCACTGCTACTGTTGTTCTGGAGGACGTTGGTTAGTTACACGATTCATTCATATTCTTTGTTATTGCAGACTGCTGGGCAGAACAGAGTAGGATGCTGCTACTAAGCATTATCCATGTAATTCTTATAATTAGGTTATAAAGGGCTGCCTTTGAACAGTCAAGGTTTGAGCCTCAAGAACGTCTGTCTTGGCCAACTGAGAGCTCTTCCATCTGAATGTGCCATGACATAAAACGTAGAAACCAACAAGCAAAACAGCTCCATGAAAAATTAGCTTATCATGGACATTAGGTCAAATCAGAATACAGGGGTATTCAAACATGCAATTCTCTAGATATGGAGTATGCAACTACAGTCAAAAAGGACAGTGTCACACCTGGTTCTGGAAGATGTAGTTTGGCTGTTTAAAGAAATGTTACAGTAATGACCCGTGCTTCTTAGAAAGCAGGGGGGGGGGAACCATCAACCTAATTTCAACTTTCTCTTTCACTTCAGTCCAGACAATGAAGTCAGACTTTACAATTTTCTGCTTAGCAAACACTAAAGCTAAAGTACAATTGTAGGCAAAATTACATTCCCCATGGGCGTGTGAAGTTCCTTGCCCTAATGAAACAAGACCACGACTGTACACAGCTTTTTCTGGTTTTAAGCAAAAATTCTATCAGGAAGTTGTTGCAAAATGTCTTCTGAAAGACATCAGATTTGGGGGGGGGATAACAGAGTTGGAAGGAACTTTGAAGGTCTTCTATCTAGTCCAACCACCTGCTCGAACAGGAGACCCTATACCATTTCA